AAACTTCAATAACAGTGGCTATAATTGTGAGTAACGCATTTCGAGACCTCTTGAATGAATGGGAAGATTGTGGATGCAAAGGCATTTCTTTCTACTGCCCTACATTGAACTTCCGAATTCGCAATGACCGATATTATTTCCTTGAAAATATGACAACGGCAAGCATAAGCGGAATGTAAGCCTATTGACGGTGTTCGGAAGAAATAAAGTTCTTCGAAATCCTATAAAAACTTGTGGCTGTCAGTCATTCGCTTACCCTGAATGACTTGTTTTCATCCTGGTCCGTCACATTACTAATAGTATTGTGACGTGTTGGTTATATGTCACGCGACAAGTAACTTCACGCCTTATTTGATAAAGCGAATTTATTGAACATTCGCTCTTACAATTACACAATTTACAATCTCACAATTACTGCCCTCGGCAGTATCACAAATACTTCTCATGTAGTCACTGCCATGCACTTGATACAACCCGACTCGGCGACTGCTACAATTCGTTACTCATTAAAAATTGGCTCAGTCCTCACTCACTACTGAATAGTGTTCGCTGCTCCTTGTTTAGGCTCTGCACGGACAACTCAGAAAACAGTTACGTGATAGGTAACGCTGTTGCGTGACGCCGTGTTTACAAGTTGCCTAGCAACACTGTCGAGAGTTGTTTACTGCTGTGTAGTAACCGCGGTATCCCTTGTTACGTCACCACTGCAATGGTTGCTTGACACAATTGCTCCTCTGTTACGTCACCGCGGGGGAGGGGTTGTTTACCGAGCGTTGCTTGATAATGGAAGGGGTGGGGATATGTGATGTCACTCGCGAGACCGCAGAGTTCACGTGACCCCTACTTCCCTTTGCACCATCCACGTCACACTATACTAGATTATTAACGCATGATACACAGTCCTGTTCTTCAAACAACTGACCACGACGTGGCAGACACTCATCTTCATTTAAACAGAAGAAGTATACAGAACACGAACCAAATTGTTTCTAGATTTTAACAAAATTTTTCTAAACCATACTTGTTGATAGACTAATTGTAATAATTTATAAATATTTTCATAATTTATGCATATCCCAGTAATTGTTACAGGATGATATTCTACATATATTTATGACATTGTAATAATTGTGTTTGTATTAATAATGCCCAGTGACATTGTAATAGTGGTTTCCGCATGTATTGATAAAGCCCTTCTGAAGATGGTCGCTCCGACCGAAATACATGAAGGATGAAAGATTAAAAAAGCACAACAATTATCAATCACATTGGCTGGCGTTAATAGTCTATTATATCCTGAATATATTTCAGATATCAATAATACAGACATTACATATCGATTTCTCAAAATTCGGTATGAAGGCCATGCAACTGGATCACAAGCATGGTGGTGGTGGTGGTGGTTGTGGTGGTGGTTGTTGTGAAATACATGGTGGTGGTGACGTTTACGACGACGACGACGATGATGATGATGAAGATGAAAATGAAGATGATGATGATGATGATGATGATGATGAGCGTTAAATATGCTGTTGGATCTTCGGGGGAGATGAGTTACTGGTTTGAAGAGTTCTAAATTCTAGTATGTAACGCCGTGAAGTCCGTTGAAAGTCAACAGAGATTTCAGGGGAGCATGTCGCCTCCGACTTCAGGGTCGAAGAATAATCCGAGAAAGAAACCAGCACGAAGAAGGTAGCAAGCAGAAACTCTGCTACGTAAATCTTAAATTTCATTTAGGCAGTGAGACAAATTTTCCGATACGTAAATGTTCATTGAATACATTTTAGAGAGAGTTTACTATACCAGATTTATAAATCCCTTGAACCTAACCTCCAGACCACCTGAGTGCACATAAGCTGAGTGAAGGAACTAGACTTCATGGAATGTCACCTCATCTGCATGCTTGTCATATCGCACGCACTCCACGTATATTCAGTACGAGTAAAATTATGTAGTGGGTGAGGATTGTCATAATAATTTTTGGTTTAAATACAAAATGAAGCATAATAATGATACGGTTTATGTATCTGCACGGAACCAAAGCGCGGAGTACAGACTGACGGTGTTCGCGTTATGGAAGTAATTACGTAACACTTATCACTTAAATCTCTGCTCTGTATCGCTGTTTATCGTCCTTATTTGAGACGTTAGGAAAACTGCAGTGTGAGTCCGAATGTAAGAAGAGAATGAGAAAACCAGAGGAATATTTTTATCTATAAAATTGAATATATCATTTAGTTCTGGGGATTAAAATTAAAAAGAAGTTAAAATTTACTATTCAAAAATAATAAATTCCAAATTCAATGTCTTTAACATAACTCTAGATGTTTTCATAGATATCATTAAAATTAGCAATTAGAATTCTTAATCATCTTCTTCATATTTTTTTCTGAAGATCCGCAAATAATACAAATGTTATGTTTTTGGACATTATCCATCTTCCTAGCTTTATCTAAAACAACGCCCTGTTTATATCATAAAACACTACGTTTCGGAGATTGCATTCTGTGTCTTTCTTCAGGTAAAACCTACTCAGTTGGGCTAGCTCTATCGATTGGACCCAACCTGAAGACGGAGACAGAATCCAGTCTCCGAAACATCTTGTTTTGAGACACAAACAGGACGGTGTTTAGATAAATACAGGACTAATGTACCATCCTCAAAAACTTTTAAATCTTACCCGAAATTAAAGTGACCCCTCTTATCTAAGAAGCAGTATTGACCCAAAAATCTTCAGGATTTAGAAATGCTGAAACAATTTATATTCTATGTGTACATTTACTAACGATAAATTTAAGAAATTAATGGTAGCATTCTGAACACACGCAATAATTACACAATTACGTAATTTTAGATGATAATTGAAATAAATTTTCCCCACCTGCATTTATGGGTTTAGAAGTATATAGATGTCTATTTTATTACAATATAGCTATATATAGGAGTAATATTTAAATATATTTTTGAGATTCATTCATTCATCAGTAGCTAATCTGTCAGACGACACATCTACAGTATCTTCCAAAACAGTTCCTCCACTTAATAGGATCTCAAGCTTTCTCCTTCAATTAAAATACCTTTTTCTGTCCCCAAGGTCATCCAGCATCTTCTTACATCTTCTTCCTCGTCTTCTGGGCACTTCTATCCGCCCATCCGGTTTGTTTTGTCTCCAGAGGAAACATCTCACATACATGCTATCTCTGTTTTTTGAAAGAGACTATCCAGGAAAAGTGATAATGTGGTAGTTTTTCCATTTGCTTTCCACATCGCAGTACAACAGCCGTTCAAACCACTCTGGTCACGCCTGTTGCTATACGAACTTGAACCGTCTCGAGCATCATTTGCTCTGTGCTTCAAGTCGCTGCTGATGACGCTGCTTCCGGCATCTTTTGAGATTATCTGAATAAAATCTAAAAATATTTTTACTACTGCTATAAGTACACGAGCAAGGAAGCTAGCATATCAGTTACAATTCGCTCTGCTGATTGAACCTGTGAAGTGTACACAGTATATTTTTACGCTCTGATTTCGTAGATCTTGTCAACACCAGATAAATCCAGACCAGGACGGCCGATAATTATCCTAATTTTTTATTAACGATAATATTGGTGCCCTTTCCCATTTCCATGACTTTCTCGGTCATTTCGCATCCAAAATCCATTATTATTATTATTATTATTATTATTATTATTATTTTAATTTCACATAGTCCTTCGATATTACCTGCAAGAGGTTTAGCTGGTCTCTTTTCTCCACAATATTCCATAGTTTATATCTGTTTCCACGTCGAATTGGGGCACGCGGTAACACTAAACTACAAGCCGGAAGGTCGCAGGTTCAAGTCCCGATGAGGTGGATTTTTGCGGTTAACCTAGTGTTTCCAGCCGCACTATGGCTCTGGGGTCTACTCAGCCTCTGACAGAAATGAGTACCAGGAATCTTCCTGGAGGTAAAGGGCGGCCGACGCGTAAGGCTGACAACTTTACCATCTGTGAGCCGATTGCCTACAGAAAATATGGGAGCCTCGACGTCTCGCAACCCTATGGACCTCCACGGCCTGTTACAGGGATAGCTTTACCTATACCTTTTACCACGTCGTGTGTCTTTACATTGACTACGAAGTTCGGGTGCCTCTCAAAGTTGTTCCCATCAGTTTTACGTTATGTGTTTCGAAGCAAACAAAGTAACACAAACATAAATACAAAATCTTCCTGTTTTGAAATTTTAAAGGTTTAACGGATTATAGTCTATCGAGAGAGATTATCAGTCATATTTGTATAACCTAAAACAAGTCATATTACATTATCCAGTGCTTCGACATAGTATATTTGACGCATAATATACATATGGTTAAAATACATGACGCTAATAGGAAACCTTTAATTCACTGAAATGTAGAGTATAGCTAAATAATATACAATTCAGTTATGACCTCACAGGAAACGCACAAGTTTTCGGTTACAAAGGCAATGAGTTAATGCTGGTTAATGAAAAAATCGCTGCTGGCTCTGAGACTAATACGAGGCAATAAACACGCTATTTTGGAAAAATTCTAAGTGTAAAACGATAAAGATATCCCTGTGCCAAATTATGTAATTTGAGCACTATGTTGTGAAGGAGTATGGAGGAGTGGATCTATAGATCTTTCTGCAGAAGCACTACGTTTGTTGCATCATAGAAATTTCGGTCCCTAACTAACTGCTAAATTGCTGCTAACCCTCGACAGCACAGTGATTCTTGGTTCCAAGTCCCACGGGACTCATAACATGTTTTACTGTCTGATGGCTATGGGAACCCTGAGACTATCTCAAACCTGGAGGACCTGGTCACGCTATTTATGTCCCACAGCGACAGGGTGGCCCAGTTATAACCCCACACACCTGGTTCCCTTTTCATCGCCTTATACGACTCGCAGGGCTACGGTGGAGGTAAATATAATGCGCCTCCACTCCGGATACCACTATTCTTTAAGGAGTTAATACTTATTTAATATCACTTACCGCCCATTTTTCGTAACGATCATCTCGTTGGTAAGGCACTGGAATTTGGTCCACAGGTCGCGGTCATCCAGGGTCACCTGCAGATCACGTTCTGTAGGATCGCCCTTGCATCGTCCTGCTATGAGTTCCGACTCCACGGCAGACAGGATGTGTGACTGCGCCATCCCAGTAACGCAACACACCGCTCTGAATTATGGGAAAAAAGTACTTAAATACTGGGTTGGAATATCTCCTACTAAACTTCATTAACATAGAAGGAAGGACAATATTAAAATGAGATATCAATGATATAGACTGTAAGAACTTGAACTGGGCTTGCTCAGAGCCAATAGCAGGGAACTGCTTCCTACTTCGTAGCAGTAGCATGTCTAAAACACGAATGAACTGCACATTCGAGCGATTTATTGATTTATTTAACTGCGCTACAAATTTGCAATATTATATTTAAGCATGTGGTTGCATTTATTTAACGCATGTGGAGGCGGGGTCGAATACCTCCACCGTGGCTCCGTGAGTCGTAGGAGGCGACAAAAAAAAAAAAAAAGGAAGTCTCAAATCTGAGACAGTAAAATATGCTCACGTGCCCCCAGGGACTCGGACCCTAGAAAGACTGCGCTGGCAAGGACCAGCAACATATACAAAAGACAACCCCGTCCTCTCGTTAGAGAGGGCGCCCCACAAACACAATACCGTAACTGTCAAAGAGTTATAAATATCTGGTCATGAGCCCCAGATGTCGCTCGACACCAGGACTTACTGACTGACTGACCGTAAGTCACATTGTGACTTTGACTTTGACTCTGTGGCACTGGGAGAGGTTTTTCTCCGAGTACTCTGTTTCCCCTTGCCAAATATCGATCATTTGTTATCGAGGGCTGATACGAGAGACACTTTCGGGGTCGCAGTACCAACGAACTCTGTCTCCCCCCCCCTCCTGCGGCTAAAAGACTAAAATGTCCGGCTCCCGATTTTAGGACGGTAAAGGTAAAATTGTAAACCTACCCCTGTAATAGGCCGTGGAGACCCATGGGGTTGTGAGACGTCGAGTCTCCCACATTTTCTAGACAATCGACACAAAAATGGCGGTGAGGTTGTCAGCCTTACTCTCCGGCCACCCTTTACGCCCCAGGAAGATTCCTGGTACTCAGTTCTATCAGCCGAGTCGACCCCAGGGCCATAGTGTGGCTGGAAGGATTAGGTAAATTTAGGAATCCATTAACCTCATTTCTAATCGAACCCGCGATCTTCGGCATGTGGCATAGTACCTCAACCAACTACGCAACTGAAATAGCTAGGAAATAACTTGATCCTGTATATTAATCAAACCTGATACCATAGTCAGTAATATTAGTGGGTCGCCGTAATTCAACTATTGGAGACGCTGAATTAAACTTCAGCGAGTTGTGATAATCCGGTCAGTAAAATGACAGCTACTTATTCCAGTCAGAAGTGCCAGTACAGCCAGTATATGTAGTAGAACCAAAAAATTTACTGGCTTGGAGTTGGTAATACAGCCAGTAGGCTGACTGGCCTTGATAGATAGCACAACCAGAAAGTTGACTGATTTGGTGTTGATTGTACAACCAGATTGACTTTAGATTGGAGGTACAACCAAGAAATTTACTAAGCTGTCATTACAGCCAGTAGGTTAGCTGACAGGGTTCAAAGTTAACTGGCTTAAGATTGGCAATACAGTCAGTAAGTCGGTTGACTTGGCCGCGCCGTAGCTCAAGCGGTTAGTCGCTGGCTTCCCACCGCGGCGGCCAGGGTTCAATTCCGGGTTTAGTGAAGTGGGATTTGTGAAGGTCAAAAGTAGCGCTGGGGCGGGTTTTTCTCCGAGTACTTCGGTTTCCTCTGCCAATATTCATTTCACCTAATTCTCCATCAACATAATCAGCCGGGGCAGGCTACAATAGGCAAATCAGTGGCCGCCGTGCCGAATTGACCAAGTTGGACTCCACCCCCCACTAAGCAAATTAAAAAAAAAACTAAAAAAAAAAGTCGGTTGACTTGGTATAGGAGTGATTTTTAAGAATTCATCCAACAAGGAATTGTCTGAGGACTTATTGGGTCATGTTAGCTCAGAATGAAGTAGGTTCTGACCAAAATTATAATTTTACCTTTCGTCCTAAATGGGTGAGAAACTTGGTCTGTCGCCTTGAGTAAAGAATATACAATCTATTGATTTTGTGAGATAACGAAGTGCTGAGGAGAATATTTGGACTAAGAGTGAGGAAGTTACTAGAGAATTACAGATTTCACTGGGTTTTATTCAAATATAAATAATATTTAGGCCTAATATATGACTTCCATAAATTCCTAGAACGTTTACTAAAAATTTTCTTGCCCCATAATTACGCACCAAGAAGAGGGACTGCAGATGAATGATTTTGTTATAATTTTTAGTGTGTATAATTGGCTTGCCTCTCAAGTAATAAGATATTTGGAAGGAAAGTTATCATTCTAAGTGTTGTTATACTTCTCTTTTCTCGTTACTGTCTCTGGCAGAACGGAAATCTTGTTACATCGGCCAGAATAACAATAATCACCATCTTCTGTACAATTTCGAGCAGCTGACATTTCAAACAGGTTTACATGTTCAAGCAGGAGTGACTGCTATAGAATCAATGTAGCACGAACAGTTTACCTTAACGGCAAGTCGCCTGACATTCCCGGGGTACATGCTTCGAATCCTGCTCTGTGAGTGAGATTTTATTCTCTTCACACCTTTAATCATTTCTGTTTAGCCTATACTTGTGGAATCTTGGGCAGTTTCACTTTCCTCGAGAATAAATCTCTTCCTTAATTATGCAACAGAACTGGCAACAGATCTCGTCGTCCATCACAGGATGAACACAAGAGTTTCTCTGAATATGATTGCTTGCCTTCACCAGTTGATACAGCTGCCCAAGCTGCACTTGCCCCCGATCATGACAACTCCTTCCCGACCAACTTATGGCCCTCGACTTGTCCTACACCTGTCACCTGTCACCAATGTCCTGAGTCAGATCAATTCAATCCATACTTTTTATTCCTATCTCTCTCCATTATAATGTTGTCCACCCACCTACGTCTTGGTCTTCCTAGTGGTCTGTTTCCTTCTGTCTTTCCCACTTAAACATATAAATTAAAATAGAGAAAACTATAGTTTATCCAGTCGTTCTGTATGCGTGTGCTTCTCCATTTATTACTCAGGAAAAGTACAAGGACTGAAGATATTTGAGAAGAGTTCGTTGAAGGGAATATGACCTGAGTCTGCAGAAGTTGCTTAATGAGGAGCACTATGACTTATACTCTTCTCGAATATTATTAAAATGTATTATCAGTGACAATATGCTGGACGGAGCGTGAAGCACCCATGAGAGAAGCGAAATATCCGTACACTATTTGGTATTTGGCTGCTCACGCTGGTTCATTGCGCGAGGATTTCAAATACCCTGAAGATGGAGGCAATACTTTCCTCCGAAACGCCGGTTAACAATATCTAGACGGCGCTACATTCCAGAAGTCGGTATTCTTCATAGTCACCGTCGTGGAAACCTCAAATCTTATATATTGTCCATTTGATCTATTATTAACTATTCAAGAAATTCTGATTCATGGAGATGTTTGGTAGTATGGAGTTTTCTTGTGCGCACTGCTCGGCAATATGGACTACAAGTTCACACAAAGAACTCACTGCACTTTCGGATCCATCTCTGTAAACATGTAAGCCCAAGTGACGTAAACACCAACACAGACTGACACGAGCAAGTCGGTGGAAATAAATGCCTCTGACACGGCAAAGTATACATGATATAACAGTTATTGGTCTTCTCAGAGAGCCACGGCGACTGAAGTGGACTTGTGAAACACAAATAAGCACACAGCGGCAGATTGATTCCTTCTCATAAACAGGCCTACTATGTTGCTAATCGCCACCTTTGAAACAGTACTTTAAGTAACAGCCGGCCTGCTGCGTCTACATATAAAATTAAAGATATCTCTGTACCAGGCCGTGAAGGCCCATAGGGTTGTGAGACGTCGAGGGTCCCACATTACCTAGACAATCGGCTTACAGATGGCGGTAAGGTTGTCAGCCTTACGCGCCGGCCACCCTTTACCCCCAAGGACATTCCTGATACTCATTTCTGTTAGAGGCTGAGTCCACCCCAGGGCCATAGTGCGGCTAGAAGGATTAGGTCAATTGGAAAAAATCCAATGACCCCATCGGGACTTGAACCCGCGACCTTCCGGCTTGTAGTATAGCCAATCATATAAAATTTGAATTACTTAAGAACAAACTGTGGGGGTTAAGAATTTTTATTAACGGAGAAATATGCGCTAGTAATATTTAGAACTTCTAAAATGTGTCCATTTTTTGTCTAATTTAATTATTTTGAAAAAAAAATGAGGCTTATGATTCGCCTTGCTCTCTGTTTGTATCTGCTCATCGAGCCGATAATTTTGGAACCATGTGAGGCTTATGAGAGGGGGCACGCTTGAGGCACTATTCTACAAGCCGGAATGTCGAGGGTTCGATTCCCGATGAGGTGGATTATTTCAATTTTACTTAATCCTTCCAGCTTCATTATGGCCCTGGGGTCGACTCAGCCTCTAACAGAAATGAGTACCAGGAATCTTCCTGGGGGGTAAAGGGCGGCCGGCGCGTAAGGCTGACAACCTCACCGCCATCTGTGACCCGATTGTCTTGAGAAAATGAGGGAGCCTCGACGTCCCACAACCCTATGGGTCTTCACCGCCTGTTACAGGGATAGCTTTACTTTACTTTTTTTATGACAGTGTTTAGCTTAAAATATCCATATTACAGAAATTCCTTACTACTCTGTAACCATCCAAGTGCCAGGTGACAGAGAATATAACATGCCTAATGTGTTCTGGGTTTGAGACGAGACTTCCAACTTATAAAGCTATGATGTGATAAGCGTCATGTCTCTTGGTTATGACTGCCGCCCATCACAGAGGGAGCAATAGCGGTGAGGCAGCTGCCGTGGTCTGCCGTGCCGTTGCGTTCACCACGAATCTCACACGAAGGCAGCCGGCACTGAAATCCAGGGACTGCCGTGACAAGCCGGCCTGAGCTATTGCTCGTCCCAGTGAGTACATATCTCACTGCTCTACCCGAACTCTGAATTACCTCTTAAATTATGATTATGTAACAAATAGGTCTAAAAAGAAAAGTACTTCATTTATAGACTGCTCAGTGTGAAATGTTATAGGTGTTTGTCAATACTAAAACCTGATTTGAGTTTCGTCACCAGTTTCGTTCATAATCTCTCCACGTTTTAAATACATTTCTCATTTCTTAATTCAATCGAATTCCAAAAAGAAAGAACGCAAATAGTGTTACCATCTGAATTGGAAAACACGATTTTTGTCTGAAAAATGTAGTTTTGTACTACCTACATAGAAATATCAAGACTATTGAATCAGATTTGGAAAATCATAAGGAAAGAAATAAGTTCTTACATTGAAAGCCTATCGTGTTAGTAGCTTTGTAACCAGGAGACCTAGATGATGACCACAGTATACGTTTGAATCGAAATTCCTAAGTGATTTCTTTTGAAATTCTCTAAAATTCAGTTGAATTTTTGTTGTCTCTGTCAGAGCATATATCTGTATCTACTTTAACCCCCCCCCCTCAAACCGTGAATATATATACATATTAACACGTGCCTTATGATTTAAAATTTCACACATATCCGTTGTATTTTATGCGTCTTGACATTAGTTCCCTAAGAAGAATTAATTGAGTATCTCTGTAATGAGAAGCAGAGTGTTCCGTGAGGTGGGATCGGATCTTCCGCCAATATATTTTATACATTGAAATAAAATCAAGATCCCAGTATATTCAATTCGTATCCTACCTCTTTATTATTCAAACATCATTACAATTCATACACGTTTCCGTCATATGATGACCATCTTCACAGGTAGATCGAATGATAAAGGTAAAGTTGTCCCTGTGCTTAACTAATTAAACACTACGTCATGAAGTCGTATGGGGGAGTGAATGTATATATGTATAGAGGGAGATCAAATATTAAACGAAAATTTACTAACGAATATATCATAATTTAAACTTTAAATTAATAAAAAATAGTGATAAAATTTACAAATATTTAAATTTATATCACGTTGATATACGTTGATGTCAGAAGCTACTGGGTACAATCTTGTAAAGTTAATGGTACGTCATATTATATCATATATTAGATTCGTACTCTTGTCTTTATATTTTCCATGAATATTTTCCTCATTCTTAAACGATTAAGATGTAATTAAAATATTTTTTGTACACATATAGATCACATTATTCTTTAGTACTTTTCTCCCCACAGAACATGTTCGTTTCATGGCCGAAACTTGTGTAGATGCAATTGTATTTGTCAGTAAGCAGGTAATAAATTATACATACTTCAATGGTGATTTCGCATTTTATTTTAATTGGGAACTAAACGTTTAAATAATAATTAAATAAATGTCAAATATAAATAAATAGTTGACAGATTTGTAGGCATGTGAGAAATATTTAAAACCATAGGATGGTGCTTCGACCAGTCTTTTGTAGATGTTCAGCTCATGTGTTGTCTAGACAATTGATTGGAGTGTGTCAAACATGTTACGAGGCCGCGTGCATAGCGGATAATTGGAATGCGAACATAAAAACATAAACCACCTTTTCAAACAATGTTCACATTAAGTTTGAGGCAAATGAAATGCTTTGAATAGGTACACAATTAAATAGACCCAAATCGAAAAGCGATTGCTAAGGGGACACTCTCCTGCAATATTATAGAATCGTTTCAGCGAAATCAGATGAACGGCCGCTTAGTAGGCCCAGCTAGGGGAAGATGACCACACGTAAGTGACCCTTATACTGCAGCATTCTGTTGAACTTTGTACTCTAACTTCGTGTTCTCACGACTTGCCGTCTTTGTGCAACTTCGTCGATATATTCACACATCAACGTGTTCGTCTCTTCTCATTATACAACACGACATGTTTCGGCCTAACTGGCCATCATCAGGGGCATAATGTGTTGATACTCTGTTATCACGCTGTTCTGAGTTTCAAATTGCTTATAAAATATTTTATTTTATGTTATTTTTAGATTATAGTGCCATTGTTATGCATATGTCTTTTGTATGTTTTGTTGATGTGTTGGTTTTATTTTTTTGTGTTGTGTGTAGCTATTCTTTGCTTTGAATTACTGCGATTTGAGACTTTGTCCATCGTCCGGTATTTTAGAAATTATAAAAAACAAAGCTACAAGTCGGAAGGTCGCGAGTTCAAATACCGATGAGGTCATTAGATTTTTTTCAATTGACCTAATCCTTCCGGCCGCACTATGGCCCTGGCGTTCACTCAGCCTCTAGCAGAAATGAGTACCAGGAATTAATTAAATAATTTTCCTGGGGAATAAAGCGCGGCCGGCGCGTAACGCTGACAACCTTACCGCCATCTTTGAGCTGAATGTCTAGATAATGTGGAAGCCTCAACGTCTCACAACCTTATGGGCCTTCATGGCCTGTTACAGGGATAGCTTTACTTTTACTTTTTTTACAATGTTTAAGAAACTGGTTCTGTTTCCGTCATCAGGTGAAGTGAAAAAGACACCTACTTTGTTAGGTCCCTTAGGAAGAGCTAACCTCAATCACTACACGCCATCGTCAGAACCCTTTAGAATCTACTTATTCTGTTGCTGCTTGTGTTATTGATGGAAACTAAATTATTTCCTGTCCTGCGGCAAAACAATTTTTGGCCTATGGAGTTTACATTTCCTTCCTGTCCTTTTACACCAATAAACACTTTATCGCAATGGACCAGAGTTACTCCTGAGGAGCCAACGTTCACTCAGTTCCTTGAGATATTCAGCTCCGTCTATGGATCCACAAGCTTCACTATCGTGTTAACACCCTTACACCACATTCATTAATGTTCTCTTTAATATTATCCTTCTATTTACGCCCATATTTTTTCAAGTGGTTTCTTTCCATAAGGCGCTATATGTAGCCCATCTTACCCTCCTTGATTTCATCTTCACAATAGCCTACTGGGAACAAAATTCTCCATCACCTTTGTCTCAAACCCCACTAATGTGGGTCTACAGAAGAATAAAGAAAATTACAGTTTTGTGAGTTCTGTATTTGTAAACGAGAGATGGGAAAATTAACAATTCTTATCTGAATGTAACAAGTGCTCCCATAATTATTAACAATTATACAGTCATAGTGCATCAATAAATTCTTATATTCCAGAAAATTTCTTGTTAAAATTTAGGCCTACCTTACGGGTGTATGAAAAAAAATGTGCGAAACGGGTCCATTAACCTGTTTTGGGGTTCAAAAGATAATGTGAATATTAGAAACTATGTCCATAAAGAATGCTTACATTGTCAATATTCACATTACATAATCTCCCCCCCCTAAAAAAAAGAAGATCCTCAGGTTTTTTGTTCCTAATATTGTACAAGAACTTGATCTATCGCGAAGCTCCATAATTGTAGGCCCCAATACGGTACTTGGCCTCCGTTAATAAGTTCACAGTTAAACTTTCCTACACAAAGAGTGGTCCTATTAACTTAATTCCCTGCATTTTAGGCTGTCTACCTCTTAACACCAAATCCGTACCCGCTGTGTAATCATTACAAAGGCACAATATTAGGCCATAAAGTAACATCAAATTTACCTCCAAATTACTCCTTCGACTCTCTATCAGAAATCTATAGACACTTGGCTTTTATTGAGTTCTGTATTGGTCAGGAACCAGACTCATTTAATAATGAATTTCTCTCAGAAAACTGTATTCGGTTCATTACATATATATGGGTAACAATAGACACAGAAATGTATCCCGTTTGCAGTTCACTTAAACATACACAACTTCCCTCGCTTCAGTAGTTTTATTATGAAGCGGTAAGCCTACCTTTTTTCAACCAACAATCACCAAAGATCGAAATGTCTCACAACGCCAGTAATGAGAACACACTAGTATGAAAACTAAGCTAATTATTGTCACACTATTCCACACGACAATGCCAATTGTGGACACACTTCTCACAGCCTAACTTGTTGTCACTCTATTCTCAAATGTGTTCCGTGATCTCTATTTCCCCTTCTACGGGGTTCTGACACTTGCCCCGCCCATCTCAACTGTCATTGGATGCTTCTACCATGATCAGACACCCTCATTGGTGCGTTGTACACACCCATTCATACGTCATTAAACGGGAGTGCAGTTATTAGATATATCTATACTCATCTTATATATCCCAGTACAGCAGCTGCACTTTCGAAGGTTACAAGTTCGAATCCCTGAACGGAATATTCCGGTCGTTTAAACTATTTAATTTATTTGCATTCGCCATGAAATTAAAACCGCTGACGGGTTGAAAATCGTTTTTGTTCTCATCCCCTTGTCTAGAAACGTGAACATTAAAATATTCATAATTATCATTACGGTCATCATTATCAACACATCGTCAGGGCAGTTGCAGGGGTAGGTCGTTAAAGCGTGTTCTGATTAATACATATAAAATTTTAATTTTTCCAGTTGTATTGTGTGGGTGTGAAAATTTGTCTGTCACGTTAAGGGAGGAAAAATATTTTGTCAAAGTTACATTGCGACTGACGGTCAGTCACACAGTAAGTCTTGGTGTCGAGCTCCATCTGGAGCTCATGACCAGATATTTTGTACTCCTTGACAGTTACGCTCTTGTTTTTTGGGGGCGCCCTCTCTGACGAGAGGACGAGTCTGCCTTTTGTACATACTGCTACACCTTGCCAGTGCAGTCTTTCTCGGGTCCGAGTCCCTTGGGGCCCGCGACCATATTTTACTCTTCAGAGTTAAGACTTCCTTTTCGTCGACTTCTACGACTCGCGGTGTCACGGTGAAGATATTCGACCCCGCCTCCACAAGAGTTGACCCCCTGGTTTCCGAAAGTCAAATTTTTAGTTATATGGCCTCGGGTCCGATACCATGGTGAACACCTTCTCTTGCCGAGTATTGTTGAGTTACGTAGCAATGAGTTGTAGCACAGTACACAGAGAACACAGCTCCTATTGTTGCAAGTTCGTTGGTACGTGTATAGAGATTCGTTGCCTAGCAGTGGGTATATGCGTCAAAATATTTTCTAAATTTTACCCTCTCACACATGGATAACCTTTAGTTACAGTTATTGGATGTAGCATGAGCATTTGAATTGTTGACTTGTTTGTAGAGTTTCATGGTTTCTGTCCTCTCTTCTAAAATGTCAGGGAAGTTGTAAAGAAGAAATGTTCTTTCTGAATAAACCTAATTAGAAAAGAGATGATGTATGACGTAGGGATCAATGTGAACTCTGCATGACATTCACACCCTGGATTTATGTAGGCCGAGCAGAAACGTCGCCGTCTTTTCACGCCTATCCTGGCGCAGCTGACAGTTGCAACTCTGGCAAAAGGAATGTTCTGTTCCAGAGTAGGACAAATATTACATACAAATGTGCGTCAGTTCTGAATTACTATTTTCATACCGCCATCTCTGAGAGAACTGTCTGGAAAATGTGGGAGCCTCGACGTCTCACACACCTATGGGCCTCCACGGCCTGTTACAGGGATAACTTTACTTTTTTTCATTTACGTATTTAAAGTTTTCTGTTTTACAGTTACAAATAAAGTATGTTTTGAAGATCACTGTCTTCTAAAGTGTAATACCATGTAGTTCGGAAGACGTTTACCGACGTTTCGGAGTATACTGTCTCCATCTTCAAGGCAGAATAATTGACAAAGCAAGTAGCTAGCAGGAAGCATGCAACAAGCGAAATATCCTGGCTACTTGCTTAGCTTGGGGCACGCGGTAGCGTAGCTGCTTGAGTCACTACTACACAGATCGGAAGATTGTGGGCTCGAGTCCCGACGAGGTGATTTTGTAATTTACTTAATTCTTCCAGACGCACTGTGGCCCTGGGGTCGACTCAACCTCTAACAGAAATGAGTACAAAGAATCACCCTGGTCTAGTAAAGGGCGACCGGCTAATACGGCTGACAACCTTACCGCCATCTGTCAGCGGACTGTCTAGAGAAAATATTGGAACCTCGGCGTCTCACAACCCTATGGACCTTCACGGCCTGTTACAGGGAAAGCTTTATTTTTTACCTTTTTTAACTCACTATCTGCTTGCGCGCCATATTTTGCCCACACCTCGTCTGGATCATAGATGCACGTGTAACATACAAAGGATATGCTATTTATGATTTATGCCCCATCCTGTCGCATCTTCATGTTGCTTCTGATAAACATATTGATGGCAATTCATTAACAGAAGCACACAACATCACGCACTTTCTTATCAGAACAAGATGGAACATTAATTTGACTTGTTTGCATGGAATATTTCGCGTTCAGAACTATGAGTAACGGGGACATATTCAGCTGAAATTCATACTTTACATGTGACTGATTTTTACATTCGCGTCAGCGCAGTTTGTTTGCATTGAAGTTATTTATATACATTGTTTGACAATAGCTACTTTAAATAGACCAAATTTAAACCCATTAGCCTAATATGTTGACCAATATCTACGTATCTATAGACCTAAGTAACTCTGTAACTAAAGAATTAACAAGCTCCGTGAAGCAAGGCGTTTCTTAAGAAGTCATTAGTAGTTCGACTAGTCATGGTACTCCCGTCTTTTATGGATCATATCGCGACCGTCTTGATATTCGCTCATATTCTGAAACAAATAAATTTAGTCCAGTCATGTTAGGAGCCGGGATAGCGCAGTCGGTATAGCTACTGGCTACGGGCTGGACAACCGAGGGGTCGGAGTTCGAGTCCCGATAATGTCAAGAATTTTCTCTTCTCCATATTGTCGAGACTGGCTCTGGGTCCCACCCACCATCCTATCCAAAGGGTACCGGGGGGGGGCTCTTTCCCCGGAGGCAAAGCGGCAGGGGCGTGAACTCCATTAAAATGTGTCCTTCCGTCTTCGTAGCTCCCCCAACTGGCCCCTTGCTTATGCATTACCAGACAAAAGAAATTACCACACGATGCGTGCTACGGATCCAAATATCTCATCTTCCTTTATCTGCCTATCGTAGTGTTATCTGGTAAAATTAAGGTAAAGTTGTCCCAGTGCTTAACTAATTAAACACTACGCCATTAAGGCGTATGGGGAAGTGAATGTATAGACCCACGTTTTCTTGACCTCGGCACTAGTTGGAGGTCAGTGGCCAGCTTCACGCCCCGGCCGCTTTACCATCGTGAAAGTTCCCACGTTACACATTTGATAGAAGGTTGGGCGGGTCCCAGAAACGGTCTGGACGACACGGAGAAGTGGAAATTCTTGTTTCTATCTGGAATCGAACTTGGACTCATCGGTCGTTCAGCTGTAGCAAGTCGCTGTAAGTAATAATTAAAATGATATAAAATGACTTGGTTTATATTTTGCCTGCGAGCTTTGTTACTTTCAATTTACTTGTATTCACTTTGAAGTTTGTCTTCGGGCTGTTAATTTAGCTTGTAAATAAATAAAAATTGAATTGAATTCGACACTAATTATAAGCAGGAATGTTTCGTCATTGCTTTACAACTTTACGTTGCAATACCGTAAGTCTATTTCGAATGCTCAAGGGAGATAAAAGGCACTGGCATTGAGTGGAAAGCAGGAAAGTCACACATTTGATTCTCGATGAGGTCACTGGATTTTTCAGTTGACCTAATCATTCCAGCCGCATTATGGCTCTGTGGTCGACTGGGCCTCTAACATAAATGTGTACCAGGAATCTTCTTTTGGTTAAAGGGCGGCCGGCATGTAAGGCTGACAACCTTACCGCCATCTGTGAGCCGATTGTCTAGACTCTAGACAATGTTGGAGCCTCGATGTCTGACAACCCTATGGGCCTCCAGGGCCTGTTGCAGGGGTAGCTTTACCTTTTATATTTGTTCTGAGAGAGTTCTAACTTCAACAATTCTCAAAATAAATCGTGAGTATGTGAAGTGCTGTTCTGGTTATGGCGCTGCGTTGTGCTGTAGAAGTTCACAGATATCTGGGATGATTTTATTATTTGTTGCATTTTTCTTTTTATGTTCGTTGCTTGCTTGACTTAATCTTCGACACTAAAGATGAAGGGACTACTTCCCTCCGAAACTTCTGAGAATTTTTAGGGTACCACATCTCAGAAAATGGTAATATCCATAATGATCGCCATGAGGACCTCGAATTCAACGTATGTGTACCTATGGTTTACCCGAAGTGAGTCATCTGTACTTATGTGAAAGGAAGTTCTGCTTTGAATCCACAGATGACGTGTAATAGTGGGCCTTCGTCCCATCCCTTCTGTCCGAAAGCAACAGCACACACTTTTGGTCCTGCCATGTTCCTGTAAGAGTTAGGTTCTCACAGTGGTGGTTATGAAGAGTTCTATCTCCTGGGATACAGCGCTCTGTAGGATCTGAGGTTCTCACAGCGGTGGTTATGAAGAGTTCTGTCTCCTGGGATATAGCGCCGTGTATAGTCCGTTGAAAGTCAACTGACGTTTCGTAGAAATATGTATCCTCCATCTTCAGCGTCGAAGAATAAGGTAAGCAAGAAACCAGCTTGAAATTAGGAGCAAGAAAAGCCTCTGTTTCTACGAAACGTCGATGGACTTACAACGAACTAAACGGCGTTTTATCCCAGAAGATATTACCCTGTTCATATTCAATTTGGTAATGCAAGTTGTCCCTAAACATTCTCTGCCATTATGTACAGTACATGTGATAGAGTGTGACTAAAGACGGGGTTTCGTTAGTAATCGGATTTATTGATCTGATATAGATCGTATTTTTTATTGCTAGTGGGGTGGGACTAAGTCCCTTGTACTGCTACCATTTCTGTCCTATTGTACCAGTCCCAGATGATAGGTCAGGGTAATTGTGGAGCAATTGGTAGAATGAAGATTGGCAGGGGAAACCGAAGTACTGGGAGCAAAAATGCCCCAGCCCAACTTTGTCCTCCACAAATCCCATTTGACCAGACCCGGGATCGAACCCAGGCCGCCACGATGGGAAACCAGCGACTAACCGCTTGAGC